AATAATAGTGCAATGTTCTGCAGAATTCTGGATGTTGACGTCACTAAATGGAGGGAGGTGCAATAGCAATGGATGTGCCAGGTGCCCATTTGGTGAGAAGTGCTAGGACTGACATTCCTGGCTTATGACTGGCTCTGCCCATGATTTGGAATGATGATGATGATGATGATGATGATGATGATGATGATGATGATGATGATGATGATGATATGCCACGAATGATTCACCGCAGCGTGTGAAATGGTCCTCCGAGCATCTGAAGGACGCGTCCATTCTCACAACACGTAGCCATCCACGAGGCGTCGTGTGTCATGTTGAAGGCAAACGGGGGCTTTATCTTGTTTTCAGATCTTTAATTCACACTGGTAATGAAGCCGAAGTTTAAGCGTGGCTTAGCTGCCTTGTTTACATCCTTGATCATCTGTGCAGAAATTCTGGTTGGTATCCTCGGGGTTTGCTGTCCTTCCCCAAGGAATATCAGAGTGTGAGAACACCCGGAGTCAGCTTGATGGGACTAAAAGATGCTGAATCTTGAAATGTGTTTATCCCACAATCTTTCTGGGGCAGTATCCACCCACAGGCTTCCTTCCTTCTTCTACTGCTGTGTTAGGCCTACCAAGAATGATTGACTTGCTCTGGCCTGCCATGAGGAGAGATTTACACTTTATCTACACTTCCCAGGAAGGGAAGGGAAGGAGGGAGGAATAAAGGAGAGCAAAGGGTAGGGAGGGTGGAAAGGGAAGAGAGGAAGGGGGAGGGAGGAAAAGGGGGGGAGGGCGGAAAAGGGAGGGAGGGAATAATGGAGGGATTAGGAGGGGAGGAATGGGAAGGATAGGAAGGGAGAAGAGGGGGAGAAAAAGGGAAGAAAAGGCGGGAGGAATAAAGGAAGGAAGGGGAAGGGAGGGAGGGAAGGGAAGGAGAAGGAGGGAGTGAGGGAAGGAAGAGGAAAGGAGGAAGGGGGATGAATGGGAAAGGAAGTGGCGGAAGGAAGGAATAATGGAGGAATGGGAGGGGAGGAATGAGAAGGAAAGGAAGGGAGAGATGAATAAAGGTGGTAAGAGGGGGAGAAAGGAAAGGAAAGGAGTCAGTCATTGGTTTTACACATTGTTTAATACTCCTTCCTTGCCAAAGAAAAGGGGAAAACTGATAATATCTTGTTAGTTCTGCTCACTCCATTTACTAAGGCTGATACCAATTCCATGTTGTTATCTATTCTTGTGCACACACACGTACACGCACAATACAATACTATCCAATGAATCTTCCTCTTAAAAAACCCACTAAACAGCTGAAGTCCAGGGACTCTTCCTAGAGCTTGTTAGAGAGGGAGAAGGTATATAAATTTAATAAATAAATGTAAATAAATCAGTCTAGAGAAGAGTAAAGCATGTGCCAATGCGGAAACAGCCTGCACAGCTAGATTTAAAACAAGGTCCGAAAGAATTAGGTTGTCCTGGCATGACTCAAGAGCCAAATCCAACAGCAGCTTAAAAGCAGTATATTGTTTGAGAATTGCTCCAAGTATGGTGCTAATTATTTATATATTATTTATTGATTTATAAAATTTATAGGCTGCTCATCATACCTGAAGATGGGCAGCCTATAATGCTGTTTTCCCTGGTCTGTTGCAGGTCATATCCAAACCAGATTAAGTTTTTCCTTCTTCAAAAGTTACTATTGACCTCCAGAAATAACCACTGTATGATGTAAAAAGAAATGTTGATGCTCTCCTGAATCCTTACGAGTCCAGAGCTCCCTATACAGATACTCCCCAACAGTCCCCTTAGTGACCATTTAAAGTTACAATGGCACCTAAAATTATGACCATTTTTCACACTTACGACTGTTGCAGCCGTCCCTTTGGTCTCATGAGGACCCGGATTGTTGGGGGTAATATGCTGACTCTCTGTAAACCGCTTAGAGAGGGCTGAAAGCCCTATGAAGCGGTATATAAATCTACTGCTATTGCTATTGCTATCATGATCAAAATTCAGACGCTTGGCAACTGGCTCGTATTTATGACGGTTGCAATGACCCCAAAGTCACGTGATTCCTTTTTAACGACCGTCTGACAAGCAAAGTCAATTGGGAAGCCCAGATTCATTTAACAACTGTGTGACTGACTTAACAACTGCAGTGATTCACTTAACAACTGTGGCTAGAAAAGTCATACAATGGGGTAAAACTCATGAATGTCTTGTTTAAAAACAGGAAATTTGGGCTCAATTGCAGTCATAAGTTGAGGACTACTCTACTATCAAATATCACTGTGCTACTTTGCACTGATACAGGCTGCCTTTGGCCTACAACAGTTTGTTTAGTGACCATTCGAAGTTATAATGGCACTGAAAATAAAGTGACTTATGAGTGTTTTTCACACTTACGACCATTGCAGCATCCCCATGGTCACGTGATCAAAATCCAGCCGCTTGGCAACTGACTCATATTTATGACAGTTGCAGCATCCTGGTGTCATGTGATCCTCTTTAGCGACTGTCTGACAAGCAAAGTCAATGGGGAAGCCAGATTCACTTAACAACCGTCTTAATAAGCGCTTCACCTAACAGCTGCAGCAAGAAAGGACATAAAATGAGGCAAAGCTCACTTAACCACTGTCTCACTTAGCAAAGGAAATGTTGGGCTCTGTTGGGGTCGTAAGTCAAGGACTAGCTATATATTTCTTCAAATCACAGAAAACCTGAAGGGAAACAATACTGGGCGTTGCTGATGCTCCCATTAGATATAGAACAATGCGTTTTATTACAGCACAATACAATAATTATCTGTGTGCCCATTGCAATGTGCTTCTAAACATGTCAATTGAGATGTGAATGCTTGCTCAATGGTGGTATTTGCTGAGCAATTTTGAAATCATCAAGCTTCTGTTAAGGAGAAATTAAGATTGGAAATCCACTACTCACAGAGTTGGAAGTAGTTAACCTCTTGTTCACCGCAATTGCAGATGCCTGCCAAGTTGTATTACAGGTAGCCCTTCACTTAGGGCCACCACTGAGCCCAACATTTCTGTGGATTAAGCGATTAAGCGAGTTTTGCCCCATTTTACAACCTTTCTTGCCACAGTTGTTAAGTGAGTCATTGCAATTAAGTTAGTCACACGGTTGCTAATCTGGCTTCCCCATTGACTTTGGTCACAAAAGGGGATCCCCTGACCCCCGGGGAACTGCAACCGTCATAAATATGAGAGTCAGTTGCCAAGCGTGTGAATTTTGATCATGTGACCACGGGGATGCTATGACGGTCGTAAGCTTAAAAAATGGCCTTAAGTCACTTTTTTCAATGTCGTGCTAACTTCTAACGGTCACTAAACGAGTGGGCATAATTCAAGGACTGCCCGTACTACAGTTCTGTAAACTGGTCCGTGAGTAGTGTAAATAATGAGTTTTCCTGAGATTGCATAGCAAATTCATTTTTAATTTGGGGATCAGACCAAGCTACTTGAATAGTATCTGCATAAGGCAAAACACGCAGTTTGCATTTTTCCGACCAAACTAAGACAAGATAAAAAAAATACACTGATGTATATCTCCCAAATGCTTTAAAACGATGCATCTGCTCCGAACCAAACCAAACTTGTGGCTTGTATTTAGCTTCCCACAAAGCTATCGTGACTAAACTGCCTCACCAAAATTAGTAGTATTTTAATTTAGATCTGTACAGTTGACATTGTCAGTGTGAGTATAGGACTTCATAATGTTTTATTTAAAAGGTAAATCACCTTACTCTTTTGCAGAAAACTTGAGACAGAGTCAAGAGGTGCATTGTTATTATCTGAGCTTGTGATTAGCACATGAGGTTTTCTGCACAATAGGCCATAAATTTATTGTGAACCACCAAAGCATAGGCAGTGAGAAATGTGTTTGTCATAAAATCCTTTGTAGGAAACCTGATATCATTATAGACAAATGGCTATCTAATCTCTTCTCCAATCAAAATCTCCAGTGTTGGCGCACCCACAACTTCTGGAGGCAAGTTGTTCCATCGATTAATTGTTCTAACTGTCAAGAAATTTCTCCTTAGTTGCAGGTTGCTTCTGTTCTTGGTTAGTTTCCATCCGTCGCTTCTTGTCCTGCCTTGGAGAAAAGATTGACGACCCCACCACCACCCTTTCTTCCTTTTGAGAAAGATAGAGTGATTGCAAACTATTGATTGTGTACTCAACAATGCTGGCCTGCATCAACAGAAGGACAAAATCTAGATCATGAGAAGATCACAAGTGAGGCCACACTTGGAATATTGCATCTATTTCTGCTCACCACAATTTAAAAAGGGGGTTTGAGACTCTAGATAGAAAGAGTGCAGAGGAGAGCAACAAAGTAGAGTAGGGGGCTGCTGAAGGCTAAAACACGAAGAACGGTTGCAAGAATTAGGTATGGCAAGTCTAACAAAGAGAAGGATTAGGGGTGACATGATTTCAGTCTTCCAATATGAGGGGCTGCCACAAAGGTCAAATCAATTCTGTTCTACATTTAGGCAAGAAAAACGAAATGCACAGGTACAGTATAGGTGGTGCCTTGCTCAATAGTAGGAACTGTGAGAGGGATCTTGGAGTCCTAGTGGNTTATGACCGTTGCACCATCCCTGTGGTTACGTGATCAGAAGTCGGATGCTTGGCAACTGGCATGGTTTTATGACGGTTGCATTGTCCTGGGGTCACGTGATCCCCTTTTGGCAGGGAAAATCAATGGAGAAGCCAGATTTACTTAACAACCACGTGACTGCAATGATTTACTTAACAACGGTGGCACAAAAAGTCATAAAATGGGGCACGACTCATTTAACACCTTGTTTCACTTAGCAATGGATGTTTTGGGCTCAGTCATGGTCATAAGTGGAGGACTAACTGTAATTAAAGGGGAAGAAGTGCAGATTTCATTGCTGCCCAATGCTTCCTTCGTTTCTTTTTTTCCGACCCTCGGCCCTTCCACTCTGAGGATGGATTGCAACCACAGACTAGATCAAGCTGCCTGTTTCTCTTCTAGATTGCTGGAAACTGAAAATGAGCAGCTGCAGCACCAACTCCGGGAGCTGGTAGATGAGAATGGCCGGCTGTACAAACTCTTGAAGGAAAGAGATTTGGAAATAAAGCAGCTCCATAGGAAGATTGAGGAGGAACGGCTGGCTCTACTGGGTGAGCAAAAGGCCAGATTAAATTAACAACCCCCCCCAATCACTTATGTAATTCCCTTTTCCTGGAGATAATGGTACAGACCACCAAGTCTCCCAGAATGCTTTCTTGCTTTCCTTCCTTCCTTCCTTCTTTCTTTCTCTTTCCTTCCCTTCTTTCCTTCTTTCTTTCTTTCTCCTTCCTTCTTTCCTTCCATCCTTCCTTCATTTTTCTCTTAGCTTCCTCCCTCTCTCTCTCTCCTTCCCTCCTTTTTCTTTCCTTCCTCCCTCCTTCCTTCTTTCTTTCTCTTTCTTTTCTTCTTTTCTTCCTTCCTTTGGTCTTTCTTTATTTCTCTTTCCTTCCTTCCTTCCTTCCTTCTTCCCTTCCTTCCTTCCTTCTTTTTTCTCTTTCCCTCCTCCCTTCCTCCTTCCTTCCTTTCTTTTTCTTTAATTCTTCCTTATTTCTTTTTTGTCTTAGCTTCCTCCCTCCCTCTCTCCTTCATTCCTTCTTTCTTTTTCCTTCCTTCCTTCTTTCTTTCCTTTCATTCTTCCTTGCTCCTTCCTTTCTTCCTCTTTCTTTCTTTTTCTTTATTTCAAGGACCTTAGTAAGGAAGGTTTTAGAAACTCCATCGAAGTTTAGATTGGTCCAGCCAAATGCTACATTTGGTGTTTTTTTTCCCCCGGTGTGAAGGAGAACAATTATCACACAAGGTGGGAAACTGAGCCAGTTTAGTATAGAAGATCTGGCCTGGAAACCAGGGGATAGTGAGTTCTAGTTTCGCCTTAAACCATAAAAGCTGGCTGCATGACTTTGAGCCAATCACCAGAAGACAATGCGTTTTAGTCCCACCTTAGGCATGAAAGCTGGCTGGGTGATTTTGGCCAATCACTCTCTCTCAGCCCAGCCACTTCACAGGGTTGTTGTTGTAGGAAAAACAGGAGGAACAAGGAGTATTAGGTACGTTTGGGGCCATGAATAACCTAAAAAAGTAATACAGGTGGAATTAAACTAATAAATAAATAATAGATATATAAATTTCAATCTCCTCCTCCTCTTCTTCCTCTTCCTCCTCCTCTTCCTCCTCTTTCTCCTCCTCCCTCCTTTTCTTTCTCCTCCTCCTCTACCACCTCCTCTTCTCCTCCTCCTCTGCAAATCCCACTCCCTTCTGGCACTGATGATGTTCCCTAGTTGGGCCATGAAATGTCTGTGAGAAAATAAAGCTGAAGAGAGCACCGAGGACACCTCGTCCAACCCTGAACTATAAATATATCTCCAAAGACACCCTTCCTTTTTTTCGGCTACCATTTCCTTTTTTTTATTTTATTTTAGGTACCACTGGTTTATCGGGGGATGTCGCAGCTTCTAAAATTGTGGAGCTGGCCAAGCACAACCGGCACATGACAGCTGAGATGGAGAGGGAGAAAACCAGAACGAAGCAGCTGAACAATCGGGTCAAACAGCTGGAAAAAGATGTGAGGCTTCACTCTGTTAGCACAGGACTCTGATGATGTCCTGGTTTAAGGCTGGGTGGCTTTAGGCCAGTCACCAGGGGACTGGGAATTCCAGTTCCACCTTAGGCATGAAAACCAACTTGGGTGACTTTGGGCCAATTACCAGGAGACTGGGAGTTCTAGTCCGTTGTAAGGCACAAAAGCCAGCTGGGTTGGGACCAACACACCTCACAGGGTTGTTGTTTCAGGGAAAATAATAGGAGGAAGGGTGTTAAGTATGTTCACCACCTTGAGTTAACATCCATCCATTCATCATCCATCCATCCATCCACCCAACCAACCNTTAAGACTCATTTTCAAGCCTGAATTTAATGTACCGTAATTGCAAAAAGTAAATTTAATTTTATTTTCCAAGTCAGTTTTGAGTTTTGGCAACTGCACGAATTCCTGCAATTTTAAGGGCGGCAGCATTTTGGTTAAAAACAAACAAACCAGAGAAATCCCAGCAATATTTCCAGTATCCCCAATAAATCTCCACAAACTCCATAATGTTTACAGGTAATTTAGATTTGCAACTATTCATTTAGTGACTGTTTCAAGTTACAATGGTAGTGAAAAAAGTGACATGCCTATTTTTCATCTTGCAGCGTCCCTATAGTGATGTGATCAAAATTCAGAGTGTTGGCAACTGGCATGTATTTATTACAGTTGCAGTATCCCAGGGGTGAGGTGATTCCCCTTTTGTGACCTCCTGGGGAGCAAAGTCAATGGGGCAGCCCAATTCACTTTACAACCATGTTACTAATTTAACAACTGCAGGAATTCATTTAACAACTGTGGCAAGAAAAATGGGGCCAAACTCACTTAAGCACTATCTTGCTTCTCAACGGAAACGTTGGGTCGTAAGTTGAGGACTTCCTTTTCTTAACCATTCCGAAACCATCAAATTTGACACTAAAAGCCAGGAGTGAAATGCTTTGAAAGGATTAAAAACCAGACGTTTCTGTCTTTTCAATCATATAATGATCTGGTCCCAAGTGAGAAAGCATCCTGTAAATTAAGCTAATAATATGGATAGATGGCCATCATGTATCTATCTGTTTATCTGTACTTACGTTTCTGTCTATTCTTTTTTCTCTCTCTCTTTCTTTCCTTTCTTTCTCCTATTTCTTCTCCTTCACTTCTATCTCCTTCCTCCATCCCTCCTACACTTCCTTCTTTCCTCCCCTCCCTCCCCTTCCTCCCTTCCTTCTTTCCTTCTTCCCTCCCTACTTCCTTTCATCCTTCCCTCCTTCCTTTCCTCCCTCCCTCCTTTCTTCCTTTCTCCGTTCCTTCTTTCCTCCCCCTCCCTCCTTCCTTTTTTCCTCCCTCCTTCCTTCCCTCCTTCCATCCTTCCTTCCNGGGAAGAAGAGGGGAAAAGAGGGGGGGAGAGGAAGGGAAGGGAGCAGGGAGAGTGGGAGGAAGAAAGAAAAAGGAAGGTGGGAAGGAGGGGGAAAAGGAAGGAGTGAGGGAGGGGAGGAAAGAGAGAAGAAAGGAAGAAAGAATGACTGAATTTATCTGAAGTCATGGAGGTGACCTTAAAGTGTGGCATTTCCCAACTGATAGGAGATAGCAGTTTGTGCCAGAAGCCCAGGGATGTTTCTCTATCAGGGTTTAGAGAAGCTGCAAAGCTGGTTCTACCGCTCTTACTTTTTCTCTCCATTCTCAGCCCAAATCTCTTGCAACAGAAGAATTTCAGCCTGCTTACTGTTTTATTGCAAGGTTGGAAGTTGCAATATCAAAAGGCAACACCTATGAAGTGGACTTGCAAAAAGCATCGCCATTATTGATTCACATTTAGGGTGTTGTTTTTTATTTGTTATTGTTTTGAAAATCATAGGTAGTCTTAGACTTACCACAAGTTACTTAACGGTTTGAAATCCTGACAGGTTTACCTAATTGAGACTTCACTGCAATCCTCAAAAAGAATTGCAAAGAGAAGATTTTCCCATGGGCTGTTGCAACCGACAATCGTCAAAAATGCAGATTTTTTTTTTTTTTAAATGTCCTGAAAGGTCCTGCTTTTAGATCTTTGCAGCTCTGCCTTTTTATAGTTTTTCCCAATCTGATAAACTAAGAACTAAGAACTGAAAACCGTTCTTCTGTATTTCACCTTTTTTTTTCTTGAGGAACAGATAAAGCAATATTTTTTTTTTTGGTCTTGATAATGATATGGAAAGATGGCACTGCTTTCTTGAGGAACATTTTTTTTTAAATTTCCCCATTCTGAGACCCGTGTGGTCTCCCATCCGAGCCCTAACTAGGTTTTCGACACTTTATGATCTCCTCCAGTTGCTCTCTGTCTTTTATTAAAGAGATTAAGTAAATCTCTTTACTTTTAATGATTTGCTCTTGATTAACTTTAATCTCCTGCTTTTCCTTCAAGGAACTTGAGGCAGCGTAGCGTGAAGCGTTGATCTCCATTCCAGAGCGAGATTGGTGTTGAAAATGAAGAAATATTTTTAATGCCACGAAGATTCAGGCTTCCTATATTTAATATTTCCATTTCGGGTAATGGTTTGCCTTTTTTTCCCCTCAAAAGGCCGTTTGGCTGTCTTTAGGTCCGCCATCTTGTTTTGTCAGCCTGGGAAATAACCTTCTTAGAGAATTGACTTCAGTTTCATTAATTTTGCTTTTCGCTGAGGAGAAATAAAAGCTTAAAATGGGGCTAAGTCACCTGGTGGGGAAAAGACCACCATTTTCTTAGCTGCTCTCAAACCAAGCCGATGCCATTTTTACCTCAGCCATGTAAGGCCACAAGCCATCTCTTCAGCTTCGCCATTTTGTCTATTCCTGAAGGGGAAACATAGGCAAAATGGCCTCCTTGGGGTATCTTTTAATCCATGTGAGGAGAAATCATATTTAGTGGTAGTTTTTCTCCCCTCTGAGGCACCAAAATAATTTAAAAAAACATCTGCAATGATTTACTTAACAACTGTGGCAAGAAAGTTTGCAACATGGAGCTAAACCTAACAAAGGTTAAAGAAGCCTGAACTGATTTCGCAACATGTTAATTACTTTGTTGAAATTCAAAGGAACTTCATTAAAAGATTAACTGTTCCAACCACTAGTTAGCAATCATAACCCCAAGGAAGTTTTCTTATTTATTGATGGATCCTATCCAAGGGATAGTGCTCCAGGCAGTTTTTTTTAAGTGACAAAATTAAATCCGCCTTTATGTAGAACGTATTGTGTAGAGCGCAATCATCATAGTGAATTACAGTCAGCAGAATTTAATTCACACAAAACTGAAGCTTCTTTCGGTGTTATCCTGATTTAATAACATGTTGAACAGTTGGACCAGTTATTTTTTTGGTGTTTTAGCTTTGGATAGCAGAGGATAGGATGGGGTGGGGTAGAATAGAATAGAATGGAACAGAACGGAACAGAACGGAACAGAACGGAACAGAACAGAACAGAACAGAATAGGATGGAGCAAGGCGGGATAAGTTTGAAAGGGACCTTGGAGCTATTCTAGTCCTCTTCTAGCAAGTCTAGTCTTGCTCAAGCATGAATTTTAACTCTATTAGTGGCAGTGCTGCTGATTGTATCATTGCATCATCGCCGTCTCATAAATAAATGTTTTTATTTTTGTTTCTTAAATCCACTAATGATATTTGTTTTTAAATGGCTAGCCATAGATTAAATATGGATCTCCTGTCATTTTGCTTTGTAATGTAAGGNTTGTTGTTGGGGGCAATATGCTGACTCTGTAAACCGCTTAGAGAGGGCTGAAAGCCCTATGAAGCGGTATATAAGTCTAACTGCTATTGCTTTTGCTACTTCGCACCGGTTCAGTGGAACCGGTAGTGGAAATGGCGACTGGGTCACCAACCGGGTGGGGACGGCATGCTCGCCACGTCCCTGAACCGCTTCCCCTGCCGCCGCAACATCTTTTTTTTTTTTACCTTTTTCAATGTTCTGTGCATGCATTGACCTATTTATAGGCAACTGCGCATGCGCACAGGCAAAATCGTGCACACACCGAACCGGCAGTAATGCCAGCAGAAACCCACCCCTGACCGGGATGGTATATATAAGCTCTCCTGCTTTGACAGAGGGTTGGACTAAAATATCTCTGAGATCCCTTCCAGCCCTAGGTTCTAAAGTTCCACTTCAAAGCCGGGGTGTGAAACCACAACCCCACGCTGATTTCCAAGAACAAAAGACTCACCTTTCTGGGTTTGGCGTGGCTTGTGGTTTCTCCAGGCAGCTGCTGCAACACCGATCATGTAGGTCAACGTCCTAGGGTTAATATCGGGCAAAGATTTCCACCTTGGATAGTTATCTTACATTGCATGGAATTGTGGAGCCTTCGTAATGCTTCCAATACAGGGGGTCCTCGACTTGCGACTACCATTGAGCCCAAAGTTTCAGTTGCTAAGTGAAATAGTTGGTTAAGTGAATTTTGCCCCATTGTTAAGCGGATCGTTGCGGTAAGTTACTAAGACGGTTCTTAAGTGAGTCAGGCTTCCCCCTGAACTTTGCTTGTCAGGTAATCGCCAAAGGGATCCCTTCACCCCAGGACACTGCAGCCATCATAAATACAAGTCAGTTGCCAAGCATTTGAATTTTGACCACGTGACCATGGGGATACCGCAATGATTGTAAGCGGGAAAAATGTTTCCATTGAAACTTTGAACAGCCATTAAACAAACTGATGAAATCAAGGACTACCTGCAATCATGGGTGCAGCACAGGAGGGAGAAATCTTCAGAAAGCCAGGTAGGAACACTGAGTCCCTGGACAAGATGACCTGTTGCCTGAGGGCTACTCAACTGAACTTGAGTGGCAATGCCACCTAGAACATTAGGGAGGGACGGAAAAAGAGGAAAGAAAGAAGGAAGCAGGGAGAAAGGGAGGGACGGAAAGAGAAAGGGAGGACTGGAGGAAGGGAAGAAGAAAGGAAGGAAGGAGGGGAAAAGGGCGAGAGAGGAAGGGAAGGAAGCAGGGCAAAAATAAAGGGAGGAAGGGAGGCAGGCAGGGAGAGAAGGAGGGAGGGAGGGAAAGAGAAAGCGAGGGCTAGAGGGAAGGAAGAAGGTGGGAAGAAGAGGNACTGTGTTGGCTTTTTTGGCAGCTGCTGCCCACGGCTGGCTCCTATTTAAATGGTTGTCCACTAGGACTCCAAGATCCCTCTCACAGTTACTACTTTTGAGGATGGTGCCACCTATACTGTGCCTGTGCATTTTGTTTTTCTTGCCTAAATGTAGAACCTTACTCTTTTCACCACTGAATTTCATTTTATTCGATAGTGCCCAACGTTCAAGTTTATTTTTGTGACAATTGCTTAATTTCAGTTCTGTTGAGGGGCTTAGTTGCTTGAGGGGCTAACATAACCAAACCGTTGGTGTGTGCCACATTTTTGTTTTCACTTGTCCTTAGAAGTTATGCTCACTCCATCACCTGAAGGTTTTAAAGAAGAGATTGAATAGTCATTTTACTGGAATGGCATAAGGCTGTGAGGGCGAACCTATGGCATGCCACAGTTAGCACACAGAGCCCTCTCCATGGGCATGCCAGCCGTCGCCTCAGCCCAGCTCCACCGCGCATGCGTGCGCGCCTCCCTCCGGCCAGTTGGTCTTCGGGTCTCTGCTACACATGTGCAGGATCAGGGAGCATTCAGTGGATGCATATGCCCATGCGCAGGGAGGGCGCACTCAGGGGGCACATGCACATGTCCCCCCACACCCCATTTTGGACCTGGAAAGCCTCCTGCATCAACCTGCAACCCGAAAATGGGCAGGAGGGGCTGTGGGGTGCATATGTGAGAGGGTGCACATGTGCAGGGTGGACATGCACGGTGAGGTGGTGTGCATGCACGCGGTTGCCTTGCATTTCATTTTGTGGTTTCGTGTGCACGCGCTTTGGGCTCTCGGCACCAAAAGGGTTAGCCATCCCTGGCATAAGGTTTCCTGTTTTAGCAGGGGGTTAAGCTAGATGACCTCCAAGGTCCCTCCCAATTCTGTTATTCTGTAGTTTCTCTTTCTTCATTTAGCAGTTTATACACATAACTATATCTGCCTGATTTTTTTTTCCAGCTACAAATGTCAACCGTTAAGTTGCAATCCCACGGTGACAGCCCAGCTCTCCGTAAAAAGTCAGACGGCACGATGGTAAGGGTTAAACTCTATAAAATTGTTATTTTGGGATGCATTTTTCTCAATTTAGCTTCGCTGGTTACCTTTACCTGTTTACCTTACATGGAATGACTGTGTTTTATTGATTCGGATAGTTAGGTTCTTTCATCGGTGTTAAACGCCGAGAGGAGCTCGGGAAGACAAACCGTTGTTTTCAATATAAATTTTATTAAAAGTTTCAGAAAGAACAAAGGAGGAAGGGGAGGAGAAAGAGGGGGGTCCTTGGTGCTTTCTGAGCTTGGTTGATTTATTGCCGGTTTCATGACCCAACTAGGTAACATCCTCAGTGCTAGAAGGGAATGGGGTTTACAGAGGAAAGGAGGAAGGAAGAAAAGATAGGAGGAGGAAGAAGAAGAGGAGAAGGAGGAGGAGGAGGAAGAGGAGGAGGAGGAGCATGAGGACGAGGACGACTGTGGGGTCCCTGCCTACTCTCTGAGTTTGGTGGTTTTCTTATAGACCTTTCATTACCCAACTAGGCAACGCCATCAATGTTGAAATGGCTGGCAAAGTGCAGAGTTGGATTTCTTTAGCTTTTTGGGTGACGCGATGCCACTCTTTAGGCCCCCTTGGTTTCCTTGAAAATTGTGCTGGTAACTCCACGTTGTGTCTTTCGCTTTTCCCCCCGGGGTCTTTGGTCTTCTCCGACAATACGACAATTGTCTAAAAGAGCCCCGAAGTGAAAGCATTGCACGAAAAATTGTCTGCTGTGAATCTCAAAGCATCCGAATATCGCAACCAGCTCCAGTCCACAAAGCAGGAACTCAAGATGACGCAAAAGGTANTATCATCTATCTATCTATCTATCTATCTATCATCTATCTATCTATCTATCATCTATCATCTATCTATCTACAATCTGTCTGTCTGACTTTCTATCTATCTCCTATCTATCATTTTTATAAATAATTCAAGGTGGCAAACATACACTTTCTCCTCCTATTTTCCCCACAACAATAACCTTGTAAGGTTGGTTGGTCTAAGAGAGAGTGACTGAGTCACTGAGACGGTTTTGATGCCTAGAACGGGACTAGAACTCACTGCCTCCTGTTTTCTAGCCCGGATTAGATTAAATTAAGGAAACAATATCAATACCTTTAAAACCTCTAAAATATTAGCAACCAATATTAGCAACCAATGGAAAAAATATCTTAATATATTCTTAGTTTCATTTTAATCTAACCAATAAAAGTTTACTAAGTAGAAGCAAATTGTAACCATATTATTGTAGTTGACAATCCACAATGTTTTGGTGTATCATCACAATGGATCCCAAAATTTCTGTTGCTAAGCAAGACAGTTGTTAGGTGAGTTGCTCTGTTTTCACTACTATTTTAAGTGAATCACTGCAATTTTTAAGTTAGTAAAGGGGGCGTTAAGTGAATCTGGCTTTCCCATTGACTTTGCTTGCCCGAAGGTCGCAAAAGGGGATCACGTGAGCCTGGGAACATTGCAACCGTCATAAATAAGAATCAGTTTCCCAGCCTTTGAATTTGATCACATGACCAAGGGGATGCTGCAATGGTCGTAAGTGTGAAAAACGATCATAAGCTCCTTTTTTATGCTGTTTGACTTCAAACAACCACTAAACAAATAGTTATAAGTCAAGGATTATGTGTAGTGGTGTCCAAGCAGCAAGAAATCAAATTACCCCAATCTTTTTGCTTTGCAATTGTCAGCTCAATCAACAATGGTTTCTAAAACAGATTCCCACCTCTGTTTTAAGAATTTATAATACAATAGCAGAGTTGGAAGGAACCTTCTAGTCCAACCCCCTGCCTAGGCAGGAAACCCTATACCGTTCCAGACAAATGGCTATCCAACATCTTCTTAAAGACTTCCAGTGTTGGGGCATTCACACAATCTGTTCCACTGATTAGTTGTTGTAACTGTCAAGAAATCTTCTCCTTAGTTCCAAGTTGCTTCTCTCCTTGATTAGTTTCCACCCACTGCTTCTTGTTCTACCTTCAGGTTGGAGGTATTTGGAGAATAGCTTGACTCCCTCTTCTTTGTGGCAGCCTAATTTGTAATTATAATTATTCTAATTACATATGTTGAGTTTTCCAAAAGTTGCTGAAG